CCCCAAAACCCCAAAACCCCAAAACCCCAAAACCCCAATCATTAATTGTATGGTTGAAATCACCCACATTTAATTAAATATCGTCAATATCAAAGTCATCTTCTTCAGGTACATCTGCTTTATCAGCCATAAGGTCGATCTTTTGACCTTCTTCTTCTTGCTGCTTCTCCTCTTCATCAGCCTTGGCCTTGCTCTCAGCAAGAGCTTGCTCTTGCTTGAGCTTCTCTTCTTTGATCAGCTGTTCCATTTTCTTGGCTTTCTTCTGTTCTTCAGTCAATTCCTCATTTTCTTCTTCCTCTTCTTCTGACTCCTCACCTTCGTCTTCTTCAGCTTCTTGGAGCCAGGTGAGGAACTTCTGAGCTGCCTTTCTGAACTTCTTCTCTGCCTTCTTGTCGTAGACACTGGACTTCTTGTCGGTCTTGAACTTCTTATCAGCCCAAGCGAGGAAGACCTCCTCGCTGATGATGTTAGAGTCATAAGCTATCTTACAGAACCCGGCGATGGCGATGTCCAAGTCAGGTCTTTGAGTAATAAAGAAGTTAACCATGGCCATAATGAAGCATTTGGTTCCTTCCTCTCCATCTTCTTCAATCATGGAGGTGAATATAGAAGCGCTCTTTTGGAATGTCAGCAATATTGTGTTCATGTATACATTCTTTGCCTTTTGGTCTTCTCCTTCTGGCTGAATCTTACATAGAATAGAATTAAGAGCAATGTAATATTTAAGATCTCTCTCCGCAGCAATCGATACTCATTGGTTCCTGATTTCATCTTTCTTATCATCTATACTCATATCGTCGCCTTTTTCAGTGAAGATATCAGAGATAGACTCAATGGTTTCTGCTACCTCGGTGGACTCAATTGTGAGTTTTTCTTCCTCTATAAAAATAGCTAAAGACAATATACCATCATCTAATTCTTCCTTCTCGTCTTCTTTGCTCTCTTCAAGGTCCTTGTCCTTCTTCTTTTTCTTACCCTTTTTGCCTTTCTTAGACTTTTTGCTAGTGGTGCTCTTGTCATCTTCGTCACCTACTCTGATCTTGACATCGATCTCACTCATATCCTTAGGAATGTTCCTAATGATATGGTTGGAGATTTTGTGGGCGTTGTCTAGCTTGCTCACCTTACCACAAGCTCTACAACCACCCTTCAGTATTTTCTTCTCTGCGAAAAGTGAGATTTCCGGCAGATTACACTTTGGACAGAGGATAAATTTGGTAATGAAGGAGTCTAAAACTTCAACCATGATCTCGTAAGGATGAGATCCCTTAATGATTGATTTCTTTTCCTTCCCAACTCCAAGCTCTGCGCACATGTATCTAGAACGATATGTTAGTTTTGTTGGAAAAGATAGGAATCCATTAAGACTTACTTGATAATGAAATCATCTGGAACTCTCAAGGCTTCAGCGACATCAGACAGGTTGAAGATATTAGTCTTCACTCCATTAAGTCTACTTTCTTGCTTGAGCTCCATTCTAGGCATCTTATACCTATATGCTGGGTCTTCGATTGTACTTGGGATGTTTATCATTTTTAATTTAGTATAGAATTCAATTAATAATTACCTCTTAGGGGTTTTGGGGTTTTGGGGTTTTGGGGTTTTGGGGTTTTGGGG